CCGTTGCGGATAAATGGCGAATAAATAGCAGTTTGAGAGTATAGTACTGGAAAGTAGAATAGCATGAAAAACTTAATTTTGTGGACATTACCTTTCTGCAATCAGCTACTGTATGTTTTTTGGAAAGGGGGGGGGAGGGGGGTGCTCTGCTCTGGAGGTTGCGCACTAACAAACCCTTCTCCTCCTCCTTTTCCTCCACGCATGTTAACTAGCAACGTGAGCAATATTTCCTACCATACTTCACTCCCAATATTTTTTTGAGATGTTTGTATAAAATGGAATTTAAAATTCACTTATAATTGTATATGAACTGCAGAGGAGCCCGTTTATTAATAAAAATAAAAACCAACAACAACCTTTTGTAATACGGGGGTGGGAGAGGATGGGGATGAAACAAAACAGAAACAAAACAAAAAACCAAACCCTGGCAAATATTGTAAACTGCTTAAGTTGGACTTTCTCTTTGGTTTCTAACCGACTGAAGTGTTCTGTTGCGGGAAGGTGTTCAATTGGATTTTCTCTGCTGTGAAAACGCACTTCCAAACGTCCATTACGCTGGGGGATTAGTTTTTTTTAAAGTTATTTTAACAGATGTTGCACAAAACTTCTGGATTTAAAAAAAAAAAATATATAGTCTTATGTTTCAGTCAATGCACATAACCGGGGACATGTTTACCTGCCTTTCACCTGTCTGGCTCCCTCCCCGTTTTCCTTCTGGGTTTTTTTTCCCCTTCCCAGCAGGAGCAGTAAGAGGATTGGTGTTTTTTCCCCAGCTGAGCACAAACATTGCTCTCTGTAGGGATTTTCTGCTCTAAGAAAAGAGGGAGCAGGGAGCAGGCATCCATCGGCCTCGTGCGCAGGATGAGATCCCTGTTGGTAAATATATTCACCATCCCAATGGCAGCGCTGATTTTCTTTGGAAAATTAGCCAGATGGAAGCCAACAGGAAGGTATTTAACAGGGAAGAGGGAGTAATATGAAACAAAATATCCCCAAGCCTAAGCAGAGATGGAAGGGAAACCATCAGTTCTCCCCATTACCGGTTCCCAGCACACCCCAGTGCCCTCACAGCCGACGCCTGGGGAAAAAATAAAAAGCTCCCAGTCCCTTACTGCTCCTCGCTGTCTTCCTTTGCTTTCAAAAATATGGTGCCTGGTGTCTACTTCTAAGCAACAGCACTGCCTAAAAGCAAGCAGAGAAAAAAAAATCCAACACCCTTCTACAAGCAACTTTTTAAAATTCAATATGGTAAATCTGTACGATACGGGATTTTGTGTGTGTGTGTATATATATATATATATATATAAACAAAGAGAATTTTGTACAATGTAGCTGAATATTTTTGTTTCCTTATTTTGATGTCAGGAGTGTGAACATTTCTGTACCAGGTATGAAGTCAGGTATGGCACAATGGGGTCTGAGACCAGCTTTCCTTCCCATTTGCCTCGTTAAAAGCTTTTGTCGTCTCTTTCTAGCGTTTGTTGAGAAAATATTTCATTTCATCAGTAAGCTGAAAGCTCTCTGTCTGTCAGAAGCCACTCCTGTTTAGTCTGCAGACACATTCAGAAAAGGTCTCAGTAGTCCCAAGTCCTCGCTCTTCTATGTTTTATAGACTAGAAAACCAAAATCTTTGACTGTTAATATTTTCAGAATCACTTGCCACTGACCTAACACAGCTTTCAAAACCGTCCTGTGATCTTCAGTGTTCGGGTAACACTGTGGATGGCCAATTATCTCCCACCTTGCTGGCTTTGTTGTGGAGACTCCTAAATCCATGTTCACACTCTTGAACTCCCAAGACCCACTTTACAAAGATGCTGAGCATCTGCAGCTCCCACTTAATCCCAAAAACTGAGCTTTTGGAGACCAGCTTTCTGCACCCGGCTCGTGAAACGTCGGGTCTGAAGAGTGAGCGAGAATTTGTGACCTCAAAGGTTCATATCACTTGTTTCTCTGGGGGTTGGTTTTGATGAGGTGTGGTGGGGGGGGAAGCCAAAAGGGCTTGTTGAAATTCAGAGTTTCTCAATTTAGAAGACAGGTTGGGGAAGCACTTTAAGGATTCCTAGACCAGGAGCGCAGTATTCACGCCTTCTTGGTGGGGAGCAGGAGCCAGAAGTAGCTGCTGGTCCTTACTATCTGAAGACCAGATTTAAACCCAGCAACACAGCAGCAGTTATTTCATTTCTATGATGCATTTTGAGCTTTTAGCATCAAAACCTTCCTTTGAGATAAAACTTGGCATAGTGGGGTGGAGCACAAGGTCTTTTAGTCATATCCAAACTGAATCAATAGCCTGGGTTAGAACTATCACACAAATATAACACACACGCTCAGGCTGGTCTAAAAGGGAGCTTAAGCATGTCCTCATCTGGGACACTACTGGTGCACCAGGCAGCAGCAGGAGGTGATTCACCTCAAATCAGGCTGTTGACATAAAAGAACAACGAGTTGTTGTCCTCCTTGGTCGCTGCAGAAGTGTGATGTTCTTCTGGGCAGTCTTCACAACCACAACTGCCTGGTAGGAAGTGGAAGCGACATACAAGACTTGGCTGAAGTTCACGTTAGGTTCAGAAGTGGTGTGGTGTTGGCACCAAGCACATACACTGAAAAACCTCACCTACCTAATTTCACGTGTCCCAGAAGGAGCTGAGTGCTTGGTCTCGGAGGGGTTTTACCCAGGGGGAAAGAGGACCTGATTTGTTAGACACTGGAAAAAAATGAGCCCTAGATGCAGAGAGGTTCGAGATTTTCTGTTGTTAGAGGCTATTACTAGCTGAGTCTCTCCATCTCATAGTGAGGAAAAGCTCCTTGTGATAAGCAGCTCATCAGTTTATTTATAAGATTACAGAAGTATAGTCCTGCGCCCTCCCTTTCTCACCATTTGGTGTTCAAAGGTGACACAAACCCCAAGAAAACCTGGTGGAAACCGTTCATTTCTTAAGTCTCTATGCCAAGCATCAGCCAAGAACTCACACTTTAAGATGAAAAACAATTTCAGAAAGACATTATAGGGACCACGGGTTTGATTTGCCTCCAGGAAACGAGAGCAGAGACAAAAACCAGAGTGGATGAGGCAGGCGCAGGCATTGCACAATCAGAAAAGGGACAAAATTAAGACCTTTAGAGAACTCCTGCATCCCAAGAAAAATCATTTAACTCTATAAAAAGTATTAAGAGACGATAAAGTTTGCTGGTTTGGTTACGTTTGAGGATGACAGACTTCAGGAGTATGGAAGCTTCTTGGAGAATGTCTGTAAATAATTATGAAGACAGAGAAATGTTGGGGTACATAGTTACCTCAGGGTGTTTTACACAGCCTTGATGGCAAAGCACGCCAAGTGATATGACTCTTTCTCTTTTTCCCTCTCCCCCTTGCAATCATAGGGTGTGTTGAGCTTGCAAAACTTCTCACCCTCCGAGTGCTGATGGTGAGAGTGATCCTGCTACTTGTCCTTGTCCTCTTTGTTCAACAGTTCTTACAACTGAAGCATTTACTCACTTTGCATTTGTCTGTATTCATCTTTGTTCCAAAGCAAAAAAAAAAAAAACCAAACCAAAACCCAAACCAACCAACCAACCTCATGGTGGCTTTCTTTACAAGTGACATGTTACATGACTTTGGCTTTGTTTGCCATTTTTAATTATCGCATTGTGTGTTTGTTTTCCAAGCGATTAAAGTGTTTGTGTGCACCACGGTAGCTAAATATGCCCTTAATTCATCAACTCCCAGGCTGGACTGGAGCAGCCCAGGCTCCCCCTCCCACCCCATTTCACAGCAATCATTTTGGGAGGTCGGGGGGGTTTTTTTAGTTGGATTTCTTTCTTGTGTGTTGTCTTTGCAACCACAAGCTCCTGTCCCTCAAAAGATGGAAGTGGACGTGGAGAGGGGGGGAAGCTGCAGCGACACTCCCAGGCACTCTTACACTAAATTTTTGGGGGGTTTACATCTCGTTTTATAGAAGCTGTAGCTTCGCTTTAAATCCAGAGCGCGCTGGGGTCTCGGATGGGGAAATTGGTGCTTGTGGAGGCCAGAGCTGCTGCTGGTTTTACCTCGTCTGCTCTGCAGCACTGTCACCACCTCAGGGGGACACTGGGAGGCTGCCTTCCCTCCCTGCCAGCCCTGACATGGGGATGGGGTAGGTCTCCCAAACAAAAAGCTTTGCAAAGTTTGACACCAGCCCTAGGCACCGTGATTGCAAGAGCAGCAGCCTTCAAACTGAGACCCGAGCAAAAAAAAACGAGTAATTTCCTTATTCCACATTTCCCACAAAAATAAGTAGTTAAGAAACCTTATCTCCAGCTCTCTCCTTTGCTTTTACAAAAAAACCCTTTTCTCTCTTCCTCCAAAAGAACTTGGCTTTTGGAGACAGTGCCATGCCACGGTGCAATTCCCTCCATAATTCCATTTTGCAATGAAAAACTCACCAGGAAAGCGAATTCCCATCGAGTGGGGATGGCAAGTACCCAGACAGGGGGAAGACCTGCTCCCCTGCACAGACCTGGCCCGGACAAAATGATGACTGAGCTGCCTTTCTTTAACCTCAGGGCAGCTTGGGAAAGGGAGGTCTTCAAAACCCTGAACTCTTACTTTTTTCTTCCCTTTTTATTTTTTTTTTTTAATTATTTTTTTAAATTTAAGCACATTCTCCCACATGTGGAACTGGGAACTGCTGGGATGTGAGCACAGGGCTAAATATCTGCTTGTTTCTTCCCACCTTTGTAGTTTTATTTCTTTCTGTAGGCAATAAACAGCCCTTTTGCAACCACTCTTGTCCCCTGCTGTGATTCCTGAGAAGCACAGGGTGGGAAGGAGCAGGACACGGGGACCGCCCTGGGACACGCTTTTGCCATCCAGGGTGGTGGTGGGACACACACACACACACACACACACACACACAAATTTGATTTCTGCACTTTTAGGGAGATCCCCAGACCTCAGACCACCCACTACCAGCACTGCCACGCCAGGTTTTTAAACAGTGATAATTTTGTGCAGGGTTTTAGGTCACACCTGTGTCACCTTGGTCCATGTGGCCAAGAGACTGGGGTCCCCGTGAGACCTGTGTGTCCCTGCCAGGAAAATGGGGGTCCATGAAGAAAACCTCAGCCAGTCACTGGGAAATTTCCCAGTTTGTCCCATTTCTCCTGTGCTTGCACAACTGGGAGGCAGCACCGTGGAGCTGCAGAAGTCAGACCCCCATCCAAGCTCCCATCGCACGACCTGCTCCTCCCAGGAGCCGTCAGAAAATAAGCACCAAAATGTGAGGCGGAGGAAAAACGGCGCATTGGGCTTCACGGTGCTGCAGTCCCACCAATCTCCCTCGCCCCCAAAACCCCAATTATCACACAAACCTGGGCAGAACGGGCAAAGCACGTTCATCCTTTTATTGATGGTGGCCCATCAATAGGAACAGCGCGGGCACCGGAGGGGAAAGCCTTTTTTTGGGGAGAGCAGGGGGAAGGCTCCTGCCCCCTGCGAAAACCCCGGGAGCAGAGCGAGGGAAACCCAGCACGGAGTGATTACAACCCCAGGTTGTCACCACGGCTGGTTATTTATTATTGTATCCAGACAGAGGGAGAGATGAGATGGGAGTTCTGCGAGGGGTTCAGCACCAGCCCCCCACTCCCCCA